CTTCCAGCAGAGCGCCGCCGGTCTCCGTCCATGAAATATTAAACTATCCTTATCCAAATCCGCGCCTCGTAATTTCCTTAAGTTGGGCCAACGCCGTGCTTGTTCGGCGAATTGCAACGCGTCCGCTTTTTAATAAGAGAAAAACTCGGCGGCGAACAAAGCCCCGCCGTTGCACCTGTAGAAGGAAATCCATTCGGGACGGATCCAGTTCCCGCGGGATTGCTAGCGCGGCCAGAGATACGGTAGTTTCGCTGGTCCTGAATATTTCATCGCGCCGCGCAACCTTTGCCCTCGCGAGTCCCGCAGAGGAACTCGGCAGGGAGCTTAAATTATTTCATAGGGACCGCGAGGCACGCCGAAAATCAAGGATCGGAAAAGGCACTTCCCGGCTAGAGTAATTCGCTCTATATCGCGTTAGCGAAAAAAAAAAATGCCAATGACAGAAATAGGGGCTAGACACGCGACCGTTTTACCGTAATAGCGTTGCCAGCCTGAAATCGAAGGAGAGGCCATTACACGAAATTTCATTTTATGCATGAGGGAACGAACAAATCATCGACGTTGTGGTAATATTGCTGCTGCTTTTTAAAACCTCTTATTACGACTTGGTTCCATTCTTCATGTCACGTTTAACATCGATTAGTATTCCAAATTATAAAACGAAGCGACCTGGAATATATGAGTCGTTTGATTGAGAGATCAGTTTAACACGTAATAATTTAGAAATAACAGGGATTAAGATTGATCGACGTCTCTCGAGTTAAGAGAAATAGATACAGGTTGAGCCGCGACACGAGTGGCTTCACAAAAGTATGCGAAACTGTTTGTCCATTCCAAACCGAAAACGATGAGAAAGTGTCTGTCTTTCAATGGTGGCTCGGCTGTTTATAAAATTAGCCTGATACACGAGGCTGGCCAGTGACGCAAGCCTAAAATATTTCCGCCGCGCATCCACTCGCATAATTCCGTCGTTCGAGTAAATTGGCACCATTTGGCTCGTCCAGTTGGTCGCTTCGCTCCACGAATTTACGATTTCGAGCACCCCGCCTGCTTTCCGGTTAGCTAGCTTCCACGATTTCGTGGATCCCATTCGGGAAGACAAGATAGGCCTGATAAATGTTGACGAATACGCGAGCCCCGGATGAACACAGGGCCGCGGTTGAACGCGCTAGGTGCTCGCGCGGGGAGTAATGCGATTGGCTTTATCTTCAGTAATCGCGTACAAGCGGGGAATCCTCTTACTCGCCCCTTCGGCTCGGCTCCGCTCCTTTTGCTGGTCGTTATCCTTCACGTGGATACCTCGTCGTTAATAAAATAATTCTACAGTCGGTTTATTTATGCGTGCCGTGCGCGCGTGGCTTCGCCTCGTCGGATTAACGTTCTCGAATCGTGTCCCGCGGCGAGAAAGTGTCAACGGACGTGTCGCGTGTCGTGAACACTTGTGGTCTCGTTTCGTCGTCTGACGGCTCGTCCGAATGCGTTGCTGGCATGGAGAAATTGATACGAATAGTCGGATCGCTCCGCAAGACGGACGCGCAGATATGCTTGGTGAATGCAAATCGGTTAAATAAACACTGTTTGCGGAACAGTTTATATATTGTTGTGCAGTTTCGCGATGAGCAGCTGTCTAAGCAGGAGAGATTAAATGCGCGATAACGCTTTCATTTCGGTAGAGAGAACGTTTTGGATTTTCGGAAATAGAATTTAAACAATAGAATGGATGTGGTACCTATTTAGATGGTGTCGTGTAAAATGGTATGCTGGCTGATGTATTATACTTAAACGTTGGGCAAGAATGACTAGAGACTGTCGCTATTGTTCGTAGAGAATGAAATACCGACTTGGACGAGTCACACTAGTTGCAAAGTTCTGATTTATAAAGCATGAGAGCGTAAATTATTTATCACTCTATTTTTGTAATCACAAAGTCCGAATAATACTACAAGGGGAAGATTATAATACAATTTCTGTGATGGGAACATGAGAGAAATAGAGTGAGGAACGGTGAAATTAGAACTCTGTATCCTCTAAATCCTAAATTCTACGAACCGGGATTAAACTTCAGTTTGAAGGATTTCGTGGAAAGAGATTATAGAATATATGGCATGAAGCGCTGATTCATTTGCCAGGAGTGATTCACAGTTAATAAGTATTATTGAAATTCATTTCGAATCCGTTTCGCAGTATTAAACGATTTGTATTATCACATTGCCAGTGTGCGGTGGATTTAACGGTTCATGATTTCTGATAAGAGATCGAATGAAAATAATTCAAGTAATTTCTGGATCGATGGGAAAGTACCTTGTTATACTGATGCAAAACGGAAGTCTCCGGCAGGGGAATGAATCCTCAAGATTCACGGCATCGAATAGGATCGCGTAAGAAAAAGTGCATCGCCGGAGATTCCTCCTTGTGAAAAATATCTTCTTCCGAGGAACAATTAAGGAAATTATGTCCGTAAATTTTCGTAAGTCACGGGGACGTTTTAAAAGTGCCTCCCAGCGAACGACGTAATTGCTTCCATCAATCCGCACCGGGACAAATTAAAGTAACATCAACTGCCGCACCTCACCCTAGATTCAACGACATTTCCATAGCTCAGGAAACGATTGAGAGTTAGTTATTCGATAAGACTCTCCAGTATAAGCGAAATTGTAGGGAGAGTAAATAGATATGTTTTCTAATTTTAGACTGAACAAACTTAATTATTCGTATCGTCGAATGCATCGTTAAGTTTTGTATTTTCCGGCACACAAATAACAGTGAAAGAAAAATAACTTGTTATTCCCTGGCAAAGAATATTAATTTACCGAGAATATATATACTAATTAAGTACAACTAATCAATTTCGTAGGATAATATAATTTATACGTAGAGCTCGTTACCAAACAGGTGGTATTCAGCGGCTAATGGCCTGGGAACACCAATAATTCATTGATTAACACCGTCTACTGAATAAACAATAGGCGTCCCACTTCGTCGGCCCTACCTCCCTCGCCCGCCAGTCATCCCCCGGTTCCTTTTCGTTCTCTCCGTTAGGATATAACAATCAAATTTAATAAGACACCACGATAATTCATTATAGGTTGCTCGAGTGCTTTCTGAAAAGCCGCGGGAAATTTAATACTTTCCCGGTGTACCACCGAAAACATTACCTTAATAGAGGGCCCCATTAAGTCTTAATTGTACCTCGATTCAACCCTCCTGCGGAATAAAAAAGAGGAACAAAAAATTCAGATTTAAGACACGGTTAACTACGGAGGAACAGATTTTAACACTAACTAGCGTTCCTTCAGAAATTTCCTTAATTGCTGCGAGATCTTAATTGGTGTCTGTGAGTAAAATTTGTTATTATGTATCTCCGCTCGAAATGAAATGTAATTGGAACGCTTGTGTCTTCGTTCAACGTTTCCGAATATCAAAACGTTCACCATGAAATTGAACGAAAATTTTCCTGGATGCTTGCTCGAAACAAAAACGGAGCTGTATGAATGGCGAAGGAAGATTGATGAAACGTACGTAAGGACACTGTCTCTGCAGGTGTATCGCGACGGCAAATCGGCAATTTATCGGTGCCGAAGACCGCTCACAACCGAATAGGCAAGTAACTGCCGAGCATTACGAGGTCTTCACAGCGATCTGGATAAAATGGCGTATAATTAGATAGGGTGTAAGATATATTTGGAGCGTGTCCACGTTGGCCTGCGGCCAGAGTTCACCCTTTTGATATATACGTGCAAACGAGGTCAACAGGGTGCCTCCTCGCTTCGTAGGAACAAAACGCGAACGCTCGCACTGCGTAGATCGACTAAATCTGCAATTATTAGCTGGTAATTCTAATCGTTTCTTGTGTTCCCATTTTGAAATGTCAAAATTATGTGAAAATCCAGCAATTACAAGGTATAGTGTGAAAGGTAAAGATTTTTTTTACAAAGAACGTCCTGGCTAACAAACTTTGTCGCAGTCTGAACGGAAAAGACGTTAAACGGAATCAGACGGAAGAACATTGAAGAGGTTTGTGACTTCGTGGCAGCAATTTAATTATCATTGGAAATGTTGAATAACATGTTTTAAAACCACTATTATCAAATTTAATTTATAACTAGCTCGTTATTCCTGTCTCGATATTTTTGGCGAGCTATAAAATTTTAGTCGAAATTATGTCAAACGTGTGGAATCCATAACAGAAAACTGAAAGCAGCTTTATCACGCTTCTAATATTGTACGTTATCCGGTTCTGTTATTCTTAGAATATCGGTTTTATACTTAACGAATCTTCTGCGTCAGCGGTTGATAAATTCCCGTTCGTTCCCGTTCCCATAAATTCTCCAGCTACCAAGCGGGAAAGTTTGATATCAGATATTTCTTAATTACATGTTGCGGCTTAACTTGTCAAGTGTGCGCAATTAATTTTCTACGGTGTTAAGCTAAGCTAAAGCTCTCTCGCGGACGCACGCAGCGTGTTCATAAATGACGGGGATTACGCCCGGTACTGTCGACTTACATTGTTATCTAATAATTCTAATTAGCGTTCCATAACCCGGTCCCATCCCACCCGAGTCGGTGCTCGTATTGGAAACCCAAATTATCAACGTCCACTAATGCGATTTCATATTTTCAATTCTTCAATGAAAAATCATTTTATTTTATTAAAACAATTCATAAACTGAGTCTGTAAGCGACAGGTAGCGCTGGTGTCTCGGAGCACCACCGCGCAGGCGTTGAGAACAATCGGCGGAAGTGGTGTGTAGAGTTCGGTACGAGGTGTTAACTAATTTGTTCATCCTTCTGTAATTTTCGAATAATAAACATATAGTTTGATAACCGAGGTGGTTCGTAGAAACCTGGAGTCGAGAGGGAAGTTGTGCTGAAGGGAAGGATCCCTTACAAGTCTTAAATAGGTTCGCATAGATGATTTAATATAATTGGTAAGATTGTAAAAAAATAAATAGGTTATAACATTTCATCAAACATTAACCGCTGTTCCTTTCTGATTTCAGAGAGCCTCAGAGAGTACTTCACCAAGTATGGGGACATCACAGAAGTCATGGTCATGAAAGATCCTACCACGCGACGATCAAGGTAAGTTTCCTACCAGCAGTCACCTTTTAACAAAAAGTCTCGAAATTGCCAATTGAATTTGCACGCCGGCTGATAACCTACATTTTCGCCCGCTCTATTTATGATAATGTCCTGCGAATAGATACGGTAATAGGATAACGGGCACGAAATCCGCGTACGTACGTACATAGATGCGAGCGTACTATCTCTGCTGCGACGAGTGAGCGAGCGGCGCGGCGAGTTCGTAAGTGCGATGCATCTGTGGTAGATAGCGAAAGGAAATAATAGGCGCCTGGGATCGCTGCACGCAGGTGAAGCTAGCTCGCTCGTTCGTTGTCACATTTATCTGGCTGATAAGTCTATTCTTGGCCATCCGCATCTGGCCCTACCATCTTCGGATACGTGGCGCGTGCTGGATGCCTATAAGCGTACGTGTCATTATTAATGTCGGCCCGTTGCCGAAATAGAGCCTGCACAATTTGTTTCCAAAACTCCTTTCAGTAGAAATCGTGTAGAAAAAAGGGAAAACGTTCAAATTCCTAATGAATACGTATCTGAGTGAGTCTCGTAAGAGAACTGGGGAATTGCGTGATCTTAATGAAAAAAAATATTTGATCTCTTCCTTTGAATAATAGACGGTGCGCATTTTGTTTGTTCAACGATACGATGTTATATCAGTTTGTAAATTATTAGCACTTAACGAAACAACTCCGTATTTATGAACGTGGTGCTCTTAAAAGCTACCCTGTGCATTCTAATTCAAGACGGTGAAAATATGTTATTTGCGAACGCGTTGACAAAGATTCGCGGACCTTTTCAACGCCCGCGTTTCGTTGCGAGATATTGTACCCGTCCGCCTGTCGAATAAAGACGTTCGAAGGGATCAAAGGCGGAAAGTGTAAATCTGCTCTGTTGTCAGCAAGACGACGAAATTTATGAATGGAAAAACAGCGTTATCCACGACGTCGTGGATGTTGGTGCACGCGAGCACAAGGAAGCCTCGATGGCGTGTGCATAGGTCGTAACGCGAATTTACCGATGGTTTTAATAAGGTCTCCCTCGCTTCGCGTCCGTAGCCTCTCGGACATTTGTTCCTGCCCGTGGAAACCGAAATACTCTTTAGCATTCGCTAATATTGGCGACGTCGTACGCGACGCGTGGGATCAGGAATTTCTGTGCCGTTCATAGCGTCGAGAACGGGTAAATACGGAAAAATAGGAATGATTGACGCGTCACAGATTGGCGTGGCTACAAATAATACCTTCCATTCGGATACATGTGGACGTACGTCGTGTCATACGTTTGTAGCGCTTCAGTTCTACGCTTGACCTCCCGAGAAACTGCGCTATAGTCTTACCTCACGGAATTCGGTCACGGCCGTACGAGAATTTACGAATTTCAATGTGCCTGACAGTCTTTCACTTCAATCGCGATTTCCATCTAATTTGCAAATTCAGGAACTCGCGAATTTAAATTTAAGATATCAAAAATCATCCGATCTAAATTTGGGATTTCTGACAATGAGTTCAAATACAGTTGTCGGTCCGGAATCGCGTTTGAAATAAAAATTGGGTCGGAGGAAATTGACGTGTTAAATCGATGGTAAAGAGTTTCATGAAGTTTCCATCGCACGATATCTTATAACTTACGCTTACACGGTACTTTCCACAAGATCTCGATACTCGCAGACGATTTGCAGTCTTTCAAACTCCAATTTCGCTTCATTTCCATTCAATGCAACTTTATTCGCAACCGGAATGCGTCTTTATCGTTTATTGCTCTATTAACGTATTCATTACATAGAGTTTCGCGTGACGCGGCTCGCACGCCCCTTAACGAGTTCCTTATTCGATTTCTTTTGACCTGCACTCAGCATTCTTATTTTTCACTTACGTTACAGCGTTTTATTGTTCTGCGATAACGTTGGCATTTCATGTAACACGCAAAAGAATCAGCGCTTTGTAAATTTTCTAGGTGACGTCTTATTGTTCTTAGTTTGAGCAAGGTTCCTCTCATTTGTACAGTTGCCGCGTATTTTATTTTTTAAATTTCAATGCCTTTCTGAAAATATTCCACGGAACACGTTACAGAACAACAGTGACTTTATTGTTTGAACACCTAACAAGGTAGCTGCTTTCTATTAATGCGGAGTACCATACAATTTGCACAGTTTCTCTCTAATTGTATCTTAGCGGCCGATGCAAATTGTCCAAAGTTCCAGTTAAGTTTCCCGAACGTAATTGTTGTGTCGCAACTCGGCATCCTTCGCGATCGTGCCTGCGCTCTCGAAGCATTTCGCGGCGCAAAAATGGGTGTTTTCATTCACCGCGGGCGGGCGAAATCGAGCAACAGTTAACGGAGGCGAGACCGGCAAACAGAAAATCCACGTGCCACGGTTACGAACGGTTAAATGCCGGCATCAGAGTAATTACCGGTTTTTAAGTGGAGGAAACGAGGGGACGGCAACGACCACGACGACGGCGACGAGGGTCGAAAGAAGGGGGCGGGAGATGGGTCGAAAGAGGGTTGTTGCGTCGAGCGGCACGGGCGGCCGAATTTCAAGTGTAAAGTGCCTACCAAAAGTGGATACCAACGGTTTCAAGGAATTCTCGAGTCGCGCGACACTTTGCAAAGGCTTTACAAAATAATTAAGAGAATTAATTGCATACGCGTACCACGTTTCGCTTTACGAATTGCACATAATTAGTGCAAGCCTGTGACGATGAATCTGGTAATTCTCTGACGCAAGGAAGGCTTTAAATGTGATAACCTGGAAATTTAAATTTGCAACGAAACACCCATAAAATACTTATTTAGATCCCATTCGAAGTTTCGCGAATACCAAACTGACACCATTATCTTGATAATTCATTACATTCGTTATGGCGTAGTTACGGTAATGCACTCCGCGAAGTGGCACGCTTTCATGATTTATGCCGCGTCTGTGAATAGGAGACAGCAGCCGGGTATTCCTTTTGATGTGTCCTTGAGCGGGCCGTGATTAAAGAGAGGGAATAAACATGCGATCGAGAAAAATGTTCAACGCGTCCTAAACCATCGTGTCACGGGTCACTCCACATAGGCAGATTTCTTTGCAGTCCCTGAACACTTCGACGTGTACTTTGTTCACGGAGAAGCCCTTGTTCACGATAATTTCATAAGGCGGTCGGTTCGTGCTTAATACAGTTCGAGGTTAAACCAGATGAAAATGTATCCGTGGCAAATTTTCGACTTTTCACGTAGTTGCAGAAAATTAACGACGACTCTGAACAGACCGCAGGCTCGTGGAAACGCGTAGGTACGTGCGATGTCTATGGTCGAGCAGCGGCCATTAGTTCCCTTAGGAGCTCATGACATCCGGTACATCGCATCGGGCAGCACTGAATTATCTCCCACGGAACGTTTATCTCCGCGCTCTATTGCCTTCTACGGTATCTGAAATTCATTAACGCCAGGCTCGCGCTGCTAATTGGCGCGTTTCTATAATGGCGTGTTGTTAAAGGGATTGTACAGCGATAATCGCAGTTAAATTGTCGCGCGACTCTTTAAATTATCCTGTCCCGTTTACTCTAACGTCGGTTACTGTCTACTACCTTGCTCTCCTCTCCGTTTAATTAATTGGCCAGAAACTTTCAGCCGTCCGCCTCGACTCTCTCTCTAATTATTCATTCCTTTCATTCCCGTGAGCACGACCGAGAAAGAGGTATGGAGAGAGAAAAAGAGAGAGAGAAATGGATGCGGAGAGAGGGAATAGCCGGACAACAAAACGAAACACGGGACAACTTATTTGCGCCGAGTTATAAAGCAGAAGCAACAGCCGGGCCTATTCACACCCGCTTATTATGCGGAAATAAAGCCCGTAGAATCGAAGCGCGGAAGCCGCCTTTCCTTTAACGCTCGTTCTCTACTCTATCCTTTCGCCATTCGCCGGGATAACCCCCGACGTCCGATGACAATTAGGCATTCTATTCTTCGACTCCTTTAAAAGGACTTTATTCACGAACGCATATAAGAAAGGCGGGCGTTCGAAAGTGGAACCATTCGGTGATCGTAGTCCTGGAAAAGCTAGCGTTCATTGACTTATTCAATTATAAATCTTTTATCGTTTTAAAATTAAATACGCGGTTCTACATTGTATTTTAAAATACCGTTGAACCGTCACGACGGAAGTAGAGGTGGTCACGGGCCTTAAACGTACGCAAGATTCCTCCTCGGAATTGGTCCAATTACTTTCGGACAAGCGAGTTTCCCGTCTGCAGCATGTTACGCGGTATTAACCTGGACGTGTTCTCGATAGATTTAAATTTCTTCTCGGGAGATCTGGGAAATTTCTGTGGCAGGTGGAAGCCGCTTAGAGAGGGGCTGAGTATCGGGTCAGAGGGAGAGACGGTGAACGAGACGCGACAAGCGAGGGTGAGACAGAGGGAACGTCGACGGGTATAGGGTTCAAGGGAACAAGGGTGGTTGAATCCCTCAGCGCCGCGTCGTAGCTCATATCTGCCGCAAAGGGACGTGGATCTTCTATGCAGGGGGCGAGCCGTGGGGTTACTCTGCGGGTTGTAAATTAATGGTTAGCCCGTGGCACGGGGGTGGTTCGTCCTAAGGGTTCTGCTTGATCTATGGACGGCGTGTGTGCCAGGTCAAACGGGTCCTGCCCGGTGATACGAGGGCCTCGCGAAAACCTCGTCTCCCTCTTTTCCTTGATCGTTGGAGAATCGATACCCTCTCCGCTTTGTCCACGCGGTTCCTACGCTCGCGTGTTCCGTCATAAACGCATCCTCTACCCTCCGCCCTCGTTCCCTGGTCCATTTCGCGTGTTATCTATTCCATCATCGATATTCCAGGGGTGCAAAGTGTTTGCGTGGAGATCTAGGCGATCGCGTCTTTGAAATGCAAAAGCCATGAACGCGGATCACCTTTACGATTTATGAGCATGGCACGACCGGTAGCCGCGACGGGACTATGTAAAAACGATTCTAGTCCTCGAATGCTTTCCATTCGATGAGAGTTAACTTGAGGAA